GTCTGATAATTTGAGGGTTTATTCTATTTTCATAATATTTTTCTTAGCTTTTTCCTATTTGTATACCCCGGGTCTTTACATTTTACCAAAACTTTATCCTATATTGTAGATCCGGGTACAGCACATAGTGGATCTACTATCTAGGGGGATCTTGTATCCGGCCATTTACGGTAATTAACTCCATTAAATCGAACGAAAGTTTATTAATTACTGTCACGGATGAAATCAGATGATGCTGAAATCGGATGTTGCTGAAATTTGGTCCTATGTTGATATGAAATTTTAAAATTTTTTGGGGGTGTTTTTTACCGCCTTTTCTTTAGGGTTAGGTTAGGATTTAGGGTTAGAATTTATAATTAAAAAGAATATGTGGATTTTAGATCATCCGCGACAATTACTAAACAAATTCTTCACTATAAATCAATCTTCACTATAACGGGAGTGACTTGTAATTATTTAGATTATATCATTTTTTTATCGGTTTCTGTGAACATAAAACAACAGTGTGAGAACACCAATCATTATTTTGTTCTGAAATTTCAAACACAGATCAGAAACACATTAGCGTTAGTGTAAAAAAAAAAGCTTAGTATACTGTACCGGAACTTGTACAATATACCTCGTAACAACCCGGTATAAATTAGTAAAGTACCGTCAATGAGGGTACCTATATATAGCAGATAGTGGAAATACAGTAATGCTGCGCATTATCTAGTTGTATTTATTTATTTATTTTTTAACAAGATGTTTATCGTTATTATACAAATTTATAAATATACAAAACTTCACGAATGAGAATAATTCTCTGTTAATGATATTTACAATTGTCATTCAATAATTTAGTTAAATAAAAATTATTTTACGCAAAAACAAAAATGTCTAGCAATCTTTTCAATTTCTTTATCCAAAGGTTTCCTCAATTCATTTCTAAGTCTAGATTTACATATGTTCCATTCCAGTTCAGACACTGAATCTTGATAAACTTCTAAATTTGAAATTTCATCTACTAAAGACCATAATAATTCATTCTTGCTTGTACGTATAGTCAAAAATGAATCAAAATTTTTCACCTTTACTGTCACGTGATACATCTCATATTCAGGTGCCAAATTCCTATTAAAAAATCCGGTGCCGAAACTTATCGTGTTATAATTATCATCAGTTCTTCCGTTATCAGATGTATCGTAATGAAATAGATTACATACGAAATCTAAATGGTTATCTTTTAAGAATTTATTCATATAATTCGTTCCTTTAATCATCGCTTTATCTATTAATTCTTTTTGCTCTATATCTTCATAATCGAGTTTCGAAAAATCTAAGCATGGACATAATTCTCCTGGAATGTTTAATGAGTCGCAAGTTCTTTGTTTAGACATTGGTGTTAAAAACGATTGTCCATAAATTTCTGCATCTGTTTTATCTATATGTACTTCTGATTTGGTATTTTCGGTAAAACCTGGAAGAAAGTAATCAACATATTTGTCGTATTTATCACGGTTCGTATCATCATTACCGTATGCGAGATGTAATAAGGTTTGATGAAAATCTAAATGTGTCGAAAGAATATCTTTGTTCATATCAAGAGATATTTCAAATTCTGGATAAGTTTCTAGTAACTGACTTGGCAGCAACATCATCATAATAGGTTGCTTATGATGTAAATAACCTTCAAATGTTCTATATTCATTACCATAGTGCAGGCCATGATCGCTATAAATTATAATGGCACTGTTATAACAAAAATGTTATTAGTTTTAAGTGTAAAAGTTGTATTTCTATAAGAAAAGGAAAGTACCTATTTTTAGACAATAAAGGTGTTTCTTTAGAAATCATTTTTTTTATTAAATTCAACAAATCATCTTCTAACCCAGAATTAATTCTTCCTTCTACATTAGTATCAAAAAAAGTTGATGTGACAAATCGTCTTTCTCCAGAATATTCATAGAGAAAATCTTCAATCCAATCCAATGAATGTTGTGCCAATGTCTTTTGTCCTAAGCAGTAAGGACTCTGTCCAAAAATAAAGCCTTGCATAAAAATCGATTCACTGTCTTTATTCTTGAATACGCAAGAATTTTCAAATTTTGAACTTTCAACTTGACCTTTCTTTGAAAGGATATAATTATCACATATAGAATCTACAGGGAAACGATGATTTCCTGGCAATAGTCGTTTATTTCCATTTCGAGATTTTTCTTGAATATACCAATAACTTATATCACTAGTACTCCAATCTGAGTGACTCAAAAAACCACCACAAGAACCATCAGAATGCGCAGTGATGAAACCTTGCTCCTCAAATATATCCCAAATCCAATTCCCGCTATGCCTAGCTTCTAAACTCCAATAACTCTGTCCAGAATAGATATAAGGTTTATTTGGAGCAGAGTTACGACCTAATACATTATATCTCTCCATAGAAAACCATTTATGAGAACCATTTGTATGATTTTCAATATTTCTAAAAAAGTCCATTAAACGCGGAAATTCTTGTTTAAATTTTTCTCTAGATTCGGCTTCTAAAAGAATCATAACCACATCGTCTATGAGAGGGGCTGAACGTTTGGAATTTCCTGAAATTGGTATAGATACCCGAGTTAATAAAGTATATAACATATATACAAAAGATTATGTACATATACAAACGTTCTTTAAATTCTTCATTGAATTCTGCGTCAACTTTTTTTATATCTTTTCTTATCATGCTGGCATTAGACTTATCCATGCATTGCAATAAAACATATGTCTCATTTAAAACAAGTAAACCATCCTTTTCTTGATCCCAAACAGCCCATGAAAGATCCATTGACTTATAATGATATAAAAAAGTTGATTGATTTGGACATCCGGTAACATTAACATACTGAGTGTTTGTTCTCTCTGAGTAAATCACGTGACCTATTCCGGGACCTATTTAAAACCATATCACAACGTTGTAACGATAATTATTTTTATTATTATTTTTTTTTTTAAAAAAACAATATATTGTACATATATATATGTATGTATATGTATAGATATATAAATCAATTCACCTCTTTGAATATCTACGCGCACGTAATCGTCTC